TGGAGATTAAAAGGCAGACAGACGTCAGCTAAGGTTTTCAAGCCACTCAGTTCCATTTAGCCCCACATCTGCATGAAAATGTAGCTCATTGCGTGAGATCTGTATATATAATGTACTTCATGTGATTAACCTGCTTAAAAAAATTTAAGTTTCTTTTGGTCTATCATAGAATCCTAATAGATAAAGAAGACTTTGCATGCGGTAGACACAGCTCACAGGTCATATACATTTATAAGCCGCGCATAAAATATAAAATAATTCAAGGTTAAAATATACCATGTTAAATATTGATCTGCATTATAACCAAGGGCCTAAAATATTAACATTTATTCATACATCTTCAACACCGTCTTATCTAGTACATGTCGTATGTCGACAGTGGGCCTGAAGCTTAAGTGGACAGGATACAGCCTGGGGGGGTCACACCCTCCTCACATACTTTAAACCAGGGGTATTCATCTGGACTGAAACACAATGTAATCCAAACCACGCAAATCAAACCCCCTGCCCCAAAATTTACCTAAGTGGAATCCCCCCCAACTGTCTCAATGGTAAAATCTACCAACGGGGGAAACCCCCTGGAAAATTTTATGGGAGGGTGGTGGACCTTGGCTTTGTGCGCTAAAGGAATATGGACCTGCTTTAGGCAGACCATTCCAGTTACCTGCATGCAACACATGAAAAAAAAAATCAGTTTAAACTAGGGCTGTTAAAATTAACGAGTTAACGCGGATTAATCCATCATCATGATTAATCTGATTACATTTTTTAACGCAATTAACCCATCTGCAGCGCAGAATGATTCAAAATCCCTGAAATGTCTCTGTCAACCCATTTCGGGCAGTTTTAGTGCGTTCCATTTGCCCTCGGAACTCGTATTTCGAGACATATTCCGGAGTTTTGAAGCTGGAAGTGACGACATACGCTCCCGTTTCTCGGAGATCCGAGAAATATCTCGGAGCAGCACAGAGGATCCCGAGTTCAGAATCCAAGATGGCTGCGCCCTTTATCAACAGAAGGGAAAGTTGTAGTTTTATACTGTTTAAGCACTACTTCTCATTTGTGGCTCATTAAATCGGTCGCATCTGTGGATGTGTTGCTACGGAGTTTTATATGTAAAGCACGGCACGTAATGTGTTATCAACTGATATTGCTAACAATGGCAATTAACCGGGCTAGAATTGGACTTCATGATTAGTTGGATTATTTGTCGGATTTACGGTAGTTTGTGCTAATTGTAAGCGAACAAAGATAAAGACCATTTAAACTGAGGTACCTTAAATCCGACAAGTTGTCCGACTAAGCAAAAAATCTTGCTTTTTGATATGGGTCCATGGTATTGCACTTCTGTGGCAGATGGAATGCATCCGACTCATGTTCAAGATGTTCAATAAACATGTTAACTGCACATATATTCCCTTTTTTCTTGAGTATATTTGCTCATGCAAAATTAAATGTGATTAATATAGATTAATGATAAATTAGTATGAAAATGAATTATATTTAATCGTGATTAATCAAAATTAAGCCACAGCAACCCTGTGATTAATCTGATTAAAAAAATTTATCGTTTGACAGCACTAGTTTAAACACATGCAGGTAACACGAGATGAACACACAAACTACTCACAAACACGTTTGTATTCATAACTTTGTAGAGATAATCTAAAAAAAATGGTCCAGTAACCTAAAAATATACCATACAAGGAAAGGTATACCTAGATCACCCACCCACACACCGAACCCCAATCCCTGGAGCTGTAAGACTACATCACTACCACTGAGCTCCCCATTAACAGTCATATATGTGTTTTTATGCTGCTTACTTCCCCAAACCTAAAATGAAAACGTGTACAAATCTTACAAGCGTGTTGTTTTGATTACAAACTGCCTCAGGAAAGTGTTTCTGCGTTCGTTACTACAGCGTCTGATGCTGAAATCCAGCGCTAGGTTACCACACGGTAACAGCCTTGTCCTGCTCTCTGCCACAATTACAGAAACAGTACACACGGATAATTAAATTACAGTTCACTCCAGCATTGAGGCTATTGGCCAATAAGGTAAACTGACAAGGTGAATCTATTTAGAATAATTGCTATTTCGGTGCATAGAAGGACATCACAGACACACTTAAATAAAGCAAACCTCACCTAAAGCTTCCCGCAGCACTTCGGCCAAACCAGTTCGCGTTACTATGGCGATGCACACAAGTGCCATCCTGGGTATTTTCCTTTCATCTTGTTCAATTTATTTATAGGTTACTGGACGGGCTTCGGGATAAAAGCGTAATTGTCGGTGTTGCATCCTGCTTGCTCCTACCACCGAGCTGACGGGGGTGGGGACGGGGTCTTTGTTTATAAGACATTTAATCATACTGATTCTGTTACGGCTACAGTTGTGCTGTAGGCCACAACGTGTTACGCGAACCTGTAATAAAAAATGACGGTACTGAAATATCTCGCTTTATATGAACCTGTAATGAAAAAGGGTTCTCAACGCCCCTAAATTAGGAACAAAGGTCCTGAAAAAAATTATTTTCAAAGAAATACGAGTCATATTACTTCGCATCATAACGAGTGAGGCAATGAATAAATATTTATCTAATTTTTAATATTTTAAGCTGCATCCCGCCACCATTAATTCTCCCAGCGCGCCTCTCTATTTAAGCGGCCAGCGCGAGCCCCTGGCGCGTGGATTCCGAAGCTCCGCGCTGACTGTCGGGGCGGCGGGATGTTGTGACGCTGGCATGTTGTGACGCTGGCATATGCACGCGCGCAAATCCGCTTGTTTACCAGGCCCCTGCTAGCTGGCGTCCGCGACGCTCCTCCGATTAGCGCCGCCGCCAAAACGCCGCACGCAGGTTGCGTGTGGAAAACAGGAAGTGGACTGGCGGGGATATCGCCGGAGCGCCATTCCGCTGGCCTCCGCATGCTGGCCGTCGTGCTGATGCGCGGAGTGCGATTAACAATCCAAAACGGCAGGGATTACGGCTGGCGACGACTATAAACACTGTTACCCGATTAATTATTCATTTCCCGCGCCGCTCTGACCGGCCTAATGACCTCATTAAACATGGAGGGGTCATCGGAGCTGACCCTCCTCATTCATTGCTCTCATGCTGTTTAAATTATATTAAATTATATATATATATATATATTTCCAACGTTAATAAAGAGCCGCCTGCTAAATCTGCCTCCTGCTAATGACGCAGCACAAACTAATGCCTTTCCAAAGACGGTCAATGCAAAAATGCATAATCTTTGCTTAAAATAAAACATACCTACGCACATAAATATGTAAATATGCACATACTTCCATCCATCCATCTTCCATAACCACTTATCCAGAACAGGCCTATGCTGCATATACAGTATATGCATATTTTAATAAAAAACCAGTCATGAGTAATCGCCTGCAGCACGACAGATGGGGAGATGAAGGCTGTGTTTTTATGACCTGAAGTGTTTACGTGCAGCAATATCCGGCGGTGCGGATCCTTCCTACCTCCCCGACATCCATTCGTTTCACATATTCCCGCGAGCGCTGACATCACATCCCCCCGTAGATTCCAGAGAGGGCCACCGTGGCTGTGGGGAATAAGGCATACGCACCGTAGCGTACATATGCTGCCCACAGCGAGAGGCCGTCCCCAGGACAGCCATTACACGTGAGAGCGATTCCGTGTGCCCATCCACCCCCCGAGGCCTACCCATGCTTGGCCATCACATAGCGGGCACAGTGTAATTAGCTATGCGGCTGGTACATGGCCATCTGCCTAATAGGTTGTAAAACTGATCTGCGGCGGCATAGATATCATTACAATGTAGTTGTCGAGGTCTTGTTTGCACAAACAGCATGGTGTTTAATTGTCGTTGTCCACCCCCCACCCCCGACAAACCCGTGCTCATTTTATATGGCTAAAAGGATGAGTAATATACCTGGGGTACCCAGAAGTGAATGTGTACCAACATTTCATATTCCTCTCATCATGGAAATTACTATAATGTGTCATGGTGGTTCTTTAGCTGAGGAGATGGATATCGATGCTGAGGTTAATGGACCTTGGTGGGCGATCTTATTCCTGCCAACGTATTTCCACTTCAGGGTTTTCCTTTATGCTAGACTTGTTCTCACCCCCATATTTTGCTTTAATATCTAACTCTGAGGAAAGACCTTATATCCCTGCCACCCTATTTAAAGCATGAAATAATCTTGTTTCTATGATGAGGGAAAAACACACTTAGGTTAAAGCACAGAGGTATCTTTCACAACCTCTACATGGAGCCTGGTATCTCTGTCCTTCAGTGAAATGGTGTTTTTGGCATGTAGCCTAACATACGCAGCTGAAATAACCAGCCAAGTTTTCCTGAAGAAGCACAGCCTTCTCTATCACCGGCAACATGTACGAAAGACCCAGCCTCGTACCGCGTCCTTTTTGCACTTTCGGCCGGCTTTTCAAACTCCATCTGTGTGACTGAACTCCCGCGGTGATCAGTGGTCAGCGGGCAGACAGAACAGAGGGATCACCCGAGTCATTACTCAGTCACGGCTCATTCATAAGCATGTACACACACTCACACACACACACACACACACACACACACACAAACCACATGCTAAGTGCTAATTTAAGGGATTCCATGTGTCGTGCTTTATCAAAATGAATCTAACCTGAATCCCTGGTTCACCTTAGCCATTGCAGTTTAAAAACAGTCTGTCAGAGCAGCACCGAGACATCTACGATGTGCTCCACCCAACCCTGTCCAGAACCTTCCCATATTTACACTTGGTCGGGAGAGCTTCTTATCAACAAGTCAGAGAAATGGCCCAGCCTATGAAAGAAGGCAAAGGGAAGCCTAGATCCACGTAAAAAGACGGCATGTGGAAGCTTCCAGAAGCCAACCTCTGGAATGTGTTTCAACACCATTTAATTTTTAAACTTATACAGTCTAATTTCTGTTTCTTGGAGGCTGCATGACGCCAAGGGTGAGTAACAACGAGACAGCAAAAAAAGAGGCACATGTAAAAGCGACTGATGATGGTGTTATTAGTGAAAAAAAAACACTGAATCAGGGGTAGGCACTCTTAATTCTGAGTAATCCTGTATTTGTTAGGAGACAATTTTCATGACAACAGGTCTAATTCTGTAATTAAGGCTGCCTGAAATTAATTGAAAGCATGTTGGCCCAGACAGAAGAATCAAAGGTGCTTAGCCCTCAGAAGTCAATGTTCTGCTGTTGAAAAAAAAAAAAAACAACAACAACAACAACAAAAATAAATTACCTCTCACTCCCAGACGCGGAGAGCATTTTGAGGGAGCTTTTGACGGATCATACCTCACATTCTCTGGAGCCGGAGATGGTGCAGGTGCAAGGGGCTGTACCGTTAACCAGCATGTCCATGGTGTCCGAGCTCGTTGGGTTGTAGCTCATGTAGTACTCCTGGAGCTGGGGGCTCAGGCCAGACTCCGGCTCGGCCTCTGGGGCCTTTTTCCTCCGCTTCCGGCCTGCCGAGTGCTGCTGGAGCTGCCTCATGGTTCTGGGATACCGCTTCCATGACACGTAGATGACCAAAAGGATAAGCGACACAGACAGGAAGAGGGCAACACCACCCGCCACGATCTTGTGAAAGGACATGTGCTCAAACGGTGGCTCGGGGGTGGCAGGTGAGTTTCCGGGGGATGTGGCACCACTTGGACGAGGCCAGAACCCCCTGTCAGTACGACCAGAGTCAAGAGGCGGGAGGAGTTGGGGTTTGAGCCAAGTGGGGACTGCTTGTGTGGTGGGGGCAGGAGTAGGTGGGGGAGGAGGTCTCACAGTGGTCGTCACGGGGACCATAGTCAGCTGGTCCGTCGGCATTAAGGTCGGTGCCGAAGTTGCCGTATCCTCACAGACGGAGTAATTCCTCACGGCCTCTATAACCTTCTCCCCCTGGAGTGATTTGGGGCTGCTACATATCATAGTGGTGTCCTTGCTGCCCTTGAAGTTCCTCAGCCAAGCCACCAGGGGGCAGATGCCTGGACCGCAGTCCCACACGTTGCCAGCCAAACTGATGGTGTTCAAAGAGGTCCACGAGGCCACTGCCTCTTGTGACACGTTGCTGAGCTTGTTGGACTCCAGGTTGAGTATCTGCAAGTTGGGCAGGCACTGGAATATGGCCGGGTCGAGGGCTTGGATCTCGTTGCCAGAGAGGTCCAGTTTCTGCAGAGTGTGCCAGGTCCAGGGGAGGCCCTGGGTGATGAAACGAATGCGGTTCCATTGCAGGTAGAGCGCCCGCAGGTTGAGGAGTCGCGGGAAGAGGAAGAAGTTTATCCGGGAGAACTGGTTGTGCTCTAGGTGCAGCTCAGTGAGCTTGAGCAGCCCCAGGAAGGTAGTGCGTGTGACAGCACGCAGGCGGTTGTATCCCAGGTCCAGGAACTCCAGGCTGCGACACTCCAGGAAGGCGCGGATGGGGATACCCGTGAGCCCGTTGGAGCGCAGGTGCAGACTCTGCAGTTTGCGCAGACCCTGGAACTGGCCCGGCTGCAGCTCCTGCAGCTTGTTGTAGGACAGGTCCAGGTTGCGCAGGTTGGGCACGCCATGAAAGGTCTGGTTGTGGAGCTGTGAGATCTTGTTGGAGCTCAGGATCAGCTCCTTGAGTCGCCGCACGCCCTGGAAGGCCCGGCTGTCCACCACACCGACGGCGTTGTGGTCCAGGTAGAGCCAGACAAGCTGGCTGAGGTGGGCAAACTGGTATGGCAGCAAGGTCGTCAGGCCGTTGTAGCGCAGTGACAAGCCCTGGCAGCCACTGGACACGTTCTCAGGGATGTCCTGGAAGGATCCTGACTCGCAGTAAGCGATCTTCCCCTCGCAGCGACACCCCCGGGGGCACATCTTCTCTGCGCCGGCAAGCAGTGCCAGCACCGAGACTTGGAGAAGGAGACATACCAGCCGGCTGCCACCACGGGACCACCCTGCAGGAGAAGACGGGATACGCGAGTTACGTCGGCAATGCAGATCACCCACGCTTCCTCCGGGCCCCAGCTGCATGATGCGACTGACCCCAAAAAAAGCGCTTTACATTCTCAGAACATTTACAATTTTCAAGTACCCCCCCCCCTCCCCCACGGGGGAAAAGCGTCTTTGTTCTTTCTAGAGTTTTACTGCTGTAATGAAGGTTTGGACGTCGCTGTTGTTGGAGTGCAGCCTGCGTATGAGCTTAATGCGTCATGTTATCAAAGCACAGGCAAGAGTTTTAAGTACTTTAATTTAAGAACAGCAGAGTGAAACTCGTGTAGGGGAAGGGCGAAAAAAAATTACCATTTCCCCGAATGTTGAGTAGCTGACGCAAAAGGCAGCGTGCTTTGCTCTACAAATTAAAATCCACCTGTATGTCTGGCTTTTTGCTCCCTCCACACGTAGCATCTCATCTTCAAAGCTCTCGATTTTGTTCCTTTGTTTTGTCTTGTGTGACATGTTCAACTGACACCGTGTACTTAAATATAAGCATATAGCTGCAACATCATAAAGGAAAATGCATTTTTACAGACCACTGTTGTTTTTAAATGTTGCTGCAGGATCAAGGCGCAGGAATGGTACACACGAGCCTCTGGGAAACGGCTGACTAATTTGGGTCATAACGGCATCTTACACAAAACCGACCGTTCATGGTGAAAATCCAATTCTGAAAGAGAATGGAAGTGCCCCCATTTGCCTCTGTTGGCTTAACTGACAGTCAGACACTAATTTCACTATACCAGTGTTTCTCATCCCAGTCCTTGGGGAACCCCAGACAGTTCACATTTTTGCTCCTTCCCAGCTCCCAGCAAGCCTGAACCAAACAAGTACACCCTGTACCTGGTACAGGTATTTCGGGGCCTGGAAGGGAGCGAAAATGTGGTCTGTCTCGGGGTCCCCAAGGACTGGGTTGAGAAACATTGCACTACGCTTTCCCATACAGTCAAACATACTCCACAGCTGTTCTTCACTCTAAAGCAGAGTTTACATGCTGGGACAGTTTGTTCCAAAATAATCTAAATACCTGACCCTGAAACAAAAGATTTCGGGGGGGGGGGGGGGGGGTAAGACGTGAGTCCAAGAACTGCTAATAATTCCAAACAATGACTGTATGACATAATCTGGCTGCTCTGCTTCCGGAACGTAAGCGGCTCCCCTTCAGCTTCTCGGTTTCACGCTCTGGCGCCCTGCAGTGCTGTCTTATAATACATAAACTGCATGCATTTCGCAAGCAATACGCATCCCTCTAGAAGACACATAAGAATTTAGAGAATCTCATTCCAAGTGATCTGGGTCTCCTAACTGCATTCTTGTTCTAAGCCGTCCTGCTACAGATCCGTAAAATAACGTGACGTAAGGCAGTAACGCTAAGAACATTAACGCTTGTATCTAAACGCGGATGTATGCAATGGCTTCTGGTGCAAAAACGAGGCTCCTGTCCCACATGAGTGGTGCTACACAGTTATGTGGCGATAACAGTGAATAGCACCTCAGCATTATGGAAATCCTCCATGGCCCGTGACTGCTGTAGGGTGGCGGGGGGGCCTGGAGCCCATCCCAGGAAGCGCAGGGCAAAAGGCAGGGGACACCCTGGATGGGATGGCTGCCCAGGGCAGGATACACAAGCTCATATTCACATACTATGAGCAATTTGAAGACCACACTACTGCTATGTTTTTTAGATGGCAGAAGGAAGCTTCACCAGGGGGAACCGTGCACAATCGTGGAGAAAGTGTGCAGCTTGTTCACACACAGACCCACAGTCCCGGCTGTGTGAAGCCACAGTGTTACTCCCTAAGCAGCCCTTACAGAAGCTAAACGCCATTACGGCAGAGACATTCATTTATTTAATCCAGATGCTCGGCAGATTTTTCGTAGACACTGGTTTTCCTTTTAAAACACTTTCACACAACTAAATCTTTCAGCGAGATCATCTAGGTTAATTACCTCGCTCAAGGGACACAAAGGCAGGGCGATATTTTTGGGGGGTAAACTTCAGCCAGCTTCCGTTCAGTTACGAGCCCGTACCTCTGCAGGCGCGAGGCTCTCCAGCCCAAGGATTTACCTTGCACATGCAGCATGCAGCTCTTCCCCAGTTCACGCCCCCGTCGGCGTGCCTGCGGTGGAAAAAGACGCACTCCTCTCCCACACAGATTGTCCCCACATCCTCACAGCGAGCAAAGCGTTGGTACGGTTACCGGGAGAACTGGGGGGGGCACTGCTATCACCGCAACGCACAAAATAATGCTTCGCATAAGAGGCGATGTTTTGGCAAAGAGAAGTCACAGGGGATAAGCTTCCTTTGAAGCGGGGGGGGGGGCTTAAATGACACATGGAAAGATTGAAATGCATGGAATTAAAAAAAACTGATGGAAATGTCATATTCTGACAGGCTAAAGAAGAATAACATTCGGGATACATCGTTACCTTTTCCAGGTAATACATACATATATACACATAAAAACACGCGCGCGCGCACACACATAAAAACAGCGGCACTGTTGCTTCACAGCACAGGTTGTGTGTTTGAATCCCACCTCTCCTCTGTCTTTGCATGTTACCCCTATATTCTGCAGGCGATGCTTAAGCTAATCGCCATCACAAAACTGTCCTAAGATTTTGAGTGTGTGCATGTATCAAACTTGTGATGGACTGACACCCTATCGAGGATGTAACCCCAGTCTTATGCTCTGTGCTGCCTAAGACTCCAGGTCCCACCAGAACTGCGATAAGTAGCTGGAAGATGGATGGCTAAATATCTCCTGAATATTTTAACTAGCGTTCTGTACACTTGAAATAGAGGGAGTTATTTTATAATAATGATATTAAATAATTAATTACGTCTTATAACGGCACTGACTATCAGTGATATATACGACAGCACGAGGTCTTTAACAACAGTATACAATATTTACTAAACTCAATTTATACCAGCATATGTGCTGAGGACTTTATATCAGTATATACCCAGGTATTCATTATTTCCGCATATTTTTCCGACTTAATCCCGGCTTATTGAAACTGGCACCATTAAGACGAACGTTCCTTATTCAGCACATTACCTGCTGGACAAGCACATTTAGAAGGCTCCAAAGATGTGCCTTAGAGCACAAAAAGTGAGGTCGGGGCCAATGCAGCGTGCACAGCTATTTATGCAGACCATTTTGGCTAATAATAATGTCATCGGTACGGTTAACGCGCTTAACGACAAATTCCACTGCCCAGTATACATTAGTGAGGTCATTTTAAACGTGCAGATGGAGCCCAGGAGGGGATTGGGGACGACGGCGACCAATCCGTAGAGAAAATCGGAACGACACTAATACATTAATGAGACACAATCGGCTGTATGCATCTGCTGTGTCGTGTTCCCTACTCGATTGCTGTGGCTCAGGGGAAAATGTATAAGGGGATGGCGGCGTTCAAACGTCACTTCAATTTCCCTGAGTGCTTTTTTAAGTGCGGGTCTGGGAAGCGTCATCCCCCGCACCTCGGACCGATCCCAGCGGCAGTCGCCGATCGTTATAACGGCGCTTGCTGTTTCAATGCCCAGCAACGCTGTTCCTTACAAGCTCCCCACGACATGTGCATGGACTTGGCGCATTGACATATACCCATCCCCAGGACCACTTTCGGGCTCCGTAATGCAAAACCTATGTGTTTGCGGCTCTCCTCCCTGCAGCCTAAATTCCACTCCTAATACAGCAAAGAGTAAAAAACGGGATTTAAATGTACGGTTTACTCATCGTAATTACTTCTTGTGAGCCGGTGTTCTGTCGAAATGAGCTACTTTGTCGAGTTATCCTACCGTAGTGCTAATCGATAGCCCTAACCCTAACTCTTACCCTAACCCTAAACCCCCAAACCCCTAAAACCCTTACCCTAACCCTAACCCAAACCCCTAAAACCTAACCCTAATCCCAAAACGGTGGAATTGCACATGCGCAAAAAGGCTCGATAGTACGTCTCGATAGGTACTGTAGTTCAACTCGTCAGAACACCGGCTGACCACCCTCTCCAAGAATCTGAGTGCGCCCCCCTTTCCATTGGCTGTGATGTACATCATATTAAGAGGTTTACCCAAACGTTTGTGACGCGATTGTGAGCTTAGTAGTTCTTAGAACTGCAGAAACACAAATCAAACATAATTATTGTACGATTATGATTTTTTTAAAAATACTTTGTGTACTTGTTCCTCCGTATACAGGAGTAGTCACTGGCTTCAGCAATAACCTTGCAACGTGCGTTAGTACCTCGGGATTGGAACTGAAGGACCCGAGTAAGCAACGTGAAGAGGATTATAAGTGTTTTATGTAACATATGCACGGCACATCAGCTTCACAATGCTGCCATTTACAAAGAGGTGTGTTCTCCGCTTAAGCGCAGTTCCAGAAATCATGCGGCTTGATGAAGCTTTCAGACTCAACACTCTACCGTGACAAGCAGGGGAGGCTTATGCCAGCTGATAATATCAGTACCGGTCCAATAAATCTATATTGCAGTATGTTTTGCTTTCACAGCCAAAGAATTGAAGCCGCAAAAAATATATTTATGTCTTAGTGGTGGCAGTTAACAGACAGTGTAGTACGTACTGGCGCCCCGAAAGGCTGGGGGTTCAGCTGCCCGGAAGGTCCCCTACATATTACTCACTAGCGACGTGCCCCGACTCCCCTGGCTGTAACAGTAAAACATCCAGCTGAATGAACGGGCCGAAACATAATGGAAAGCCGGGAGAATGCCTAGCAAAGTCATTTTGCAACAGGCATGATTAATCTTTGCCAGGAGTCTTGGGCGACAGCGACAGAAGCCAGGCGGAGCGGTATGTCGCCGCGACGCTCCGCCGGGCTGCCGGGAAAGCGCGTTAAGGCGAGCGGCACTCCGAGCGGCAATCACGGGCCACCTGGCGACGGGCCGCCGCTCCGCTGTGAATAAGCAAAATTACGTTTCGGAAGGGAAA